ATCAGCAGCATTCCTCCGGTGAGAATACTATAGCGATGACAGTGAAGCATGGCGCCGCGTTCGCCATCAATCGCGCCTCGACTGCAGGCGGCCTGCGAAAGAAGCCTCTCTAGCAATCGGCTAACTGGCTGCCTACATCAGTTAGGCTGAAGTCTATTAGCCATTTTCCTCAGTCTGAGGCCAATTAGCTTTAGCCAGTGTGGGCGGTGAATGAAGCTTCTGGTTTTGGGAAGCTGGGGGAGACAGTGGGGGATGTATTAGTGGGTGGGTGGGGGGGCATCAGGATGGCAGTTGGGGTACTGTTAGAATGACACTGTGGAATCCATCTCAGAGCCAGCAGGAATGCAAACACAACGGTGGTTAAAAACCACACTGTGGTTTGCTCTAGACTTCTTCAGCAGCTGTGCTCACTGTAAAATATGTGATGGCTCCAAAGGGCGAATGGTAAATAGGTTTGAAGGGATCTGGTAGCTTGATATTTTTACAGTAGAGAAGTATTTTTTATTTGAACCCTGTAAACTCTAAGCATATTATTCAGTTTATTCATCTTCAGACTTATAATTCAGTAACTACTGCAATTCTGTGATTCAGTGATTTTTATATGACTAATATGTAGGTTATGAGATCGTGGAAGAGCAGTCCAGACAAGTCCGTTGAGTTTAAGGGGTTAAGTTTCCATACCTTGAGGCATTTTCCCCATGAACGGCTTTAACGTTGTGTGCCCATTGTTGATTCTACACGGAGGCATGGGATACTCTGTAAAACTAACTCAATAACCCAGCTGTCACAACAGAGATTAGACCAATAAATATAAAATATCTCATTATACATATGAATTCGGAGTCCACTAATGCGTTTCAGTGTGAGGGATTGCTGCCTTGTTCGGGGTTGATTGTTAACATTCTACTTTTGTTCTGAATTCCATGGCAGGTCTCCCTCTCTCCTTGGCCTCGGCTGGCTTTTTCCAGGGGAACTCCTTTTACGCTAGCGCTGTCTCGTTCCACTCTCAGGCAGCTCATACTCATTACGCTTCTCCAAGTTAAGCAAATAAAATCAAATAAAAAAGAGCAGCGAGCCTGCTTGCTTGGGACCACCGATATTACGACCCTTCACTGTTTTAATGATGGGAGTTCACCCTCCTAGTGCATTTTTTAAAAGGGGTCTGCAAAAGATATGTTGGCTCTAAAACTACCTAAAAGTTCATTACATTTGTGTAAGCTGTGCAGGATTAGTCACTGATGTTCAACAGTTTGTGATGATGTACTGAAAACAAGTAATGCATTGAATTTTCTTGATTCAAATGTATATATTATTTCTGAGTCTGAGTCAAGACTAAGACTTTGTAGTAGTTGAGCCTGAGTCAAGACTGAGACTAGATTAAGATTTTTTCAGAATATAAAAAAGTAGAAAGGTAGGAAAAGTAAAGTTCATCATACATTCATTATCATTCATTATATTAATATATATTAAAACATTCTAATTTATATTTTAATATATTTTGTAACATGTACAATAATATATAGCCTAAATTATAATTATTGTTGTTGTTGTTGTTGTTGCATTGCCTTACTGCTTTGCATTGTCACTTTTGAAAGGAAGTTCTCTACAACTTATGTAGAATTACCACCTAAAGTCAACTGAATATAAACCAAACAACAGCCATCTGTTACTGTCATTAAATTAAAACAGTAATAACAACATTGTGATCTCTCAGGGCTTGTCTCAATTATACAACCAATGAACATTAACAGACTAATAATACCCTGTTAAACCATAATGGAAAGATCAATTATATCCTCATGATGATAAAAAGATACTTTGCCACTACCCAGGTGACCTGAGTGAAAACGAGCAGTCTAAATGTGTACAGCAGGGGTGTGCCACAACATTATCACATAGGCATACCCCTAAAAAGAATACTGAAGAATACTCCCCCACTCCCCCGTTACTGTCTGGGAAGCATTTGAGCTTAGCAACTCAACTGTTTTCAGGGTAATCCATGACAGTAAACAAGAAAGACTATGTTTGCTAGTTAAACTAAGAACACTAATTCAGCCATAAGCCTTGGATTTGTGTTTAGCCTGGATCCTAAACCTTTCCTTCCGTTTAAGAAATATGAACAATCTGATCATCTGACTATACAATGTATAAATTCCCCATGCAAAATGTTGCGGCACACTCTTCTAAGCTACATTACTATTTGGAACTTAGGAAAGAGGCACCATTTCTCAAGCCGTACAGAGACGGTACCTCGCGCATGCAGTCAAATCAAGCGGACCACCCACCAAGATATGAGGGTATGATGTGGCATATTGCAATATAGAGTTTTATGCAAAAGTTTTAACACCTCCAGTCAAATGACATGTTTTTTTGATTTTCTAAATGAAAATAAATACATATCCTCTACAGAGAAGACACTTAAATATAGTATTCTCCTGTAAATTATAGTGCAAGATTTCTGTTTATTTTCTGAGTTTAACATACTGGGAAAACATAACACATAAATTAGAAAATGTGCCATAACTTCGACACAAGCCGCTTTTTATGCTTATTTTTTCCCGATGTGTGAAATTCAGCAAATAAACAGTAACTGATAATTAAAATGTGCAGAAGTGTGTTCTCTATAGAGGATGTGTGAACTTATTTTCACTTAGAAAATCAACAAAACGTCATTTCACCAGGGATACCCAACTATAGTACCTGAGCGCTGATAGAGGGGTAGGAGAGGGTAGTACACAAGGGGTAGGAAGATCATGTTGAGAGGGAGATGCCCCCTTTGGCCCCCCCTGTGGCATTGAGCCTGATTTGAATCAAGTGAATTCAATGCTTGTACAATGAAGCTCTTCTGGATTGATCTATTACTCATGCTTTGGACTATTCTAGTAAACAACAGAGAATCAGAGAGAGGTTTTTAATTGCTTAACGACTCCTCTGACAGCAAAGCTAACATTCAGTCTCTATCCTTAATCCCTGGCAGAAGGAGCTCACCACCACCTTATGGTCTTCTGCCAAGACTGAGTGTGCAGTGGGAACGTGGATTTCCTCTAATCTCAACATGCGCTGTGGTGTTCATGTGTGCATATGTAGCCTACACAGCACTAGTGTTTGTGCACGACTGTTCAAGCACACTCAAGATAATCTCACACTTCACTTTGACTTATGTTTATTTGTGTTATCTGAAATTCCCCAGCGGCTCCAAATCTCTGCAGCAGGCTGGAGGCCAGGAGGCTAATTCTTGTGCAGGTGGGCATGAGGAAGTGAAGGTACACCTCACCTGATTTTCTGGGTGCAGTTTATCTCATATCTTGGGATGTGATAAATTAGCATGCAGCCATGCCAAAGTAAGCTGCTGAGAGAAGTTCTGAAGTTCACTTGCTTGACCACACTGAGAAGTCAGTTGTTTTTTTTAGGCCTTAATGGCAAACTTACAGAGATAGCATTGTTCATAGTGGTGGTGATAAGAACCAGATATCTGAAGAATTATGATGCCTCTTAAATATATTGTTTTATGATAGTTTTGATAAGGTTTTGGCCTAAAAATATTTTTTGAATATCTTTTATGGTGCAGAGGTACAAGCAGGGTTTAGGCTAAACAGTCATCCAAGAACGTACTCTGTCAGATTGACCACTATTTTACTATGATCAACAATTAAGAACATTACATTACATTTAAACATTTAAAACATTGCATTACATTTATACATTTAAAAACATTACATTTAAAAACATACATGTAGGTTCACTGCTGATTATGGATAGTAAGTAAAATGGCCATATTTGCATTGTAAACATGGCGAGCCTTGGTTCCTACCACCACCACTGAAAAGAAATCCAAGGTTAGGAAAGTTTGTTTACACTGCATGATTTCACATCAAACCACTCCAAAAGACTTAACCCTTGAATTATTTAGAAATTGCAAAAAAATCAGTGGAATTCCCCTTTAAGCCTTAGATGTCTAGAGTTATCATTGCTGTTTTAGTGTAGGTTAGATTTACATTAATTTATTACATGTTATAAGTAATGCATATATATTATATTATATTATATTATATTATATTATATTATACTATGGGACTAGGAAGGTTAATTGTGATTGAAAGTTGTGTGAGTTACTTTTCCTTTTAAATTAGTTATACTAGTGATTAAGTGTTTGAACTTGACAATGTTGGAACTAGGCAATACAGTTCAGTCTAACATATTTGACATATCTAATCGAATTATTTTATAAATGTTTATGTATCACCATGGGCAGATTTGTTCACGAAAATATCAGACATTAGCATGTGGTGCATCCCTATTAGCAACTGCTGGTTGAACTAGCTTTACAAAATGTTGGCAAAAATCCTTATCAATCTAATAATATAATACTCTGTTTTACTCAGTATATTTAAATTTAGAATGCATTGTTAATTCCAAATGATGCTTATTTTGTGTGCATGTGAAGGGTCACACTGTTAGGATAGACTGGATGTAGTTTTTTTGTCTTGTAATTGAGCTAATTTGTTGTTACTGTTTTCAGGCTGCCTAGTTTTGATTACCTGCAACAACGTAGTCCAGCTCAGCGGCGTGGCATTTCAAACTCATTTCAGTGTTATGTAGTAAATCTAAACAAAGATCTGTAGATTTTCTTATTACATTGAATATGTCATTGTTCTGTAGATGTGTTTAACCATGCAACAGAACGCATATATCAGTTAGAGGATAAATCAATTAGAGGATCGATCAGTTAAAGCCGGGGTGGGAACTCCAGTCTGGAAGGCCAGAGTACTGCACAGTTTGGTGACTTTACTGTTCAAGCACACCTGATTCAAGTCATCAGTTAATTAGCAGGCTTGGTGCTACAGCAGGGAAATCACCAAACTGGACTCTGGCCCTCAGCTACTCCTGAGTTAGAGGCTAGCAGCAGATTGGTTCAGACCGTTTAAGTGAAAATTCCATTTCAGCTTAGCTTTTTAGCCCACTTTGACTAATGATTTGAAAGCACCTAAATCTCTGCGTACCTTTGCAGGCGCGTCTGTGGGAGATGGCCTTGGTCATGTCTCTGTAGTAGCCCTCTTTGCAGTAGTGGCAGTGGCGCCCAGCTGTGTTGTGTCTGCAGTTGAGGCACACGCCTCCGCTCCTGCGGCCCGACAGCTTGTACAGCTCCATGTTGAAACGGCAGCGGCGCGCGTGCAGGTTACAGTGGCAAGCTGGGAAAGAAGGGACGAGACAGAGAGAGAGACAGTGAGTTTGATTTCAAGATGATTCACAACGTAACACCTTGGTCTGTTGATTTTGGCAGGACGAGACCTCTAACTGCCTTTTCAATATAGAACAGTCCTCTAAGGCTGTGCATCACTTTGCAGTTGGTGAAAGCCCAAATAGGAACACTGGGTCCATGCTGGTTTTATCTATGGTTAAAACAGTAGATAAATAAAATAGAATAATAGAAAATAGAAAAATAATAGTAAAAACAACCCATATTGCATCCTGTGGTGAATAAAAAAATGTTCCAAAACGGATACATTTTGCAGTCGAAATACAAATATTACTACATGCACACTATAAACATGCTGACATGTCATTAATGGCGGTAGTATATTCAAACAAAAATGGCATTTTGAAGAAAAATAACATCTTTTTGCCCAAAACGGCGAGATATTTTGACTTGGTTAAGTGCGCCATGCACTATAATTAAGTAAACTTTTTTCAGATATTTTATCATTTGGGGTATATTGCCAGCTTAGGTTAAGTAAAACTAAGGCTACTGCTCTACTTATAAACTGCTATTTAGTACAATAATACAAACCTAAACAGAAGTCCATTTATCTTTTACTTGTTAAAGTAAATTTACTATTTTAGAGATACTTGTTTTAATTTGGACAGCAACGATATGTGAAATCACTACTTACTGTATTAATGTTATACATATTTATTCGAACATTGGCAAATGTTTCTGGGCAAATGCATGCTTACTGTCCAAAGTTGCCAGTCCAGCCTTATGATATCAATAAAGTCAATTATGTGCAGGAGTGTTAGTTTACATGTAGCATACTTGAATTTGAGAAAATTAAGTAGTCAAAATAGGAATATTACTTATTCCTATTTTGACTACTTAATTTTCTCAAATTCAGCAATGACACATTGAAACACAGGGCAAAGCATATCAGGCTTTGGATTTTGTCAGTTAACCACAGAGCACAATAAAAGCAAATTTTAGTCATTGTTCCTCATAGACAAAAATGGCTCAGACCTGCAGCTAAGATGACAACAGAATGACAGTGTGTCCTCAGGGGTCTATATTAGAGCAGTCCCCCTACACCTCAGCCTGAGCAGTGTGAATAAGAGAGCAGAGCTGATTCAGACAGACTTCTCCTGTCTCTACACACATCGAGCACAGAGGAGGAGACCCGGAGAGAGGGATGAGAATAGACGAGAAGTTTGACTAGCACCCTGAGAAAGCTGTGTTATTTTAATGACATCACTGGATCTCCAGGCCTCCGTCCACTCCAGTAATTCATTAAAAGACAATAGCTTTGTAAAAACAGTTGGCCAGGAGACTGGAAGATTGCTTGCTCTCTCTCTTTCTCTCTCTCTCTCGCACACACAATCACCTGCTCAAAGCTTTGACCTTTCATCTTGCCTGGCTCCTGCCATCAGCCATGAAATTGAGCTTCTCTGCCTACAGCTCTGAACTGTTTATGGCAGCAATAAGAGTTTTTTTATATAACTGTTTTACCTATTTGTTTGTTTGCTTTTATTTTTGCCATTTAATGTCATTAACCATTGCTTATTCCACGCAGCACTTCTTCTCTTAACCCCATAAACTCTCAGGGACCTGAAAACACTAACATACTTTAAAACACTCTCAACAAACTTAAGTAATTATATAATGTAAATATCAAATTTATATATATATATATATATATATATATATATCTTCAGTTTTATCCAATATGTTAAATATGGTAAATAAACTATAATAAAATAAAGGATAATATATATATATATATATATATATATATATATATATATATATATATATATATATATATATGTATAAATATGTTCTCTGTAGAGAATGTTTTAACACATCACTTGTGTTACACACACACTTCACTTTTTCAGAAAATCAACGAAGTGTCATTTGATGAGGGGTGTCTAAGCTTTTGCTTACGACTGTATGTGGGCCCATACACACCTTATACTGTACAGGCCCACACTTCAGTTCCTCAGTTGTATATCAGTTATTTATCCTTTAATACACGCTGTTCTCTCTCTCTCTCTTTCTCTCTCTCTCTTGTATATTTATTTATAATTTCTGTATATATTACATTTTTTAAGTTTTGGAAAATCCAGAATTTTCAGAAAAACTTCAGAGTTTCAAGTAAGTAAGTAAGTAAGTAAATAAATAAATAAATGAGGTCTTGTATTTTAGTACATGGCAGCACTTAAACGTTAAATGGAAAGTAATTTGAAAATAATGAAAAGCAATCAGAAATCATTCTGAGATTGCGTAATGCTTTAGACTGCTGGTGCTGATGACTGTTTTGAGCAGCTCCGTCAGTAATCAGAAAGCTCCTGCTCTCAGAATGACTGTACTGTTTTCCAAGAAATTATTTCAGATTTTTGTCTTTCTGCTTGATGGGCAGGAATGGGAAATGAATCCAAAGAGTAAAAAAAAATAGTTCCAGTGCTGTTAAAGTTCATAAAGTTTCACCATTGCAGTAACTGTGAATCTTCCACTTTGATTCAGGCAGCTTTAGAGCTTTGATCCACTCTTGCGTCAGATCGGAAAAAAATTACAGGTGTTTCTGTCCATCTTTAAACTGTGAGAAAACACCTGAGCACTGCTAGCTGCTAGTTCTCTTAGAACAATGGACTGACCACCCCAGAGTCCAGACCTCAACATCACTGAATGTGATTTCTTGGATCATGAACCAAATTGTATGACTGAACTTTAAAGGTGTGAAAAAATATCTCTGCAGATTTCTTTGAAAAACTGAAAGCAAGAATCCTGAAAAGAATGAGAACCATAATAAAGGAAATGGGTGGATACGGTAAACACTGAAAAAAGGTTATTATATTTAGTTGTTGAGTCTTCTGTGTAATTCTCTGTGAAACATGTTTTCTTTTTTTTTCCTGACAACTGAATGTACTTCATTTTCATTTTGATTGGACTATAGCTGCTGTCGGAACAAAACCTCATATCTCCATTTTTGACATTTTTCAGTTTTTGACATCATTTTAAATTACCTGTTTTATATTGTGTGTAAATTTCATGATGAACGGATCAAAAGAAATGGCTCAAAATGACTTGGAAAAAAGTCTGCTTTGATTGACTTACATTAAAAGTTTTTAGCTTGTCCTGTAAAGTTACCATTTTGGAGATATGAGGTTTTATTCCAAAAGCAGTGATACTACTTATACAGTGTAGACTGAAATAATATAAGCTAGACCCTAGAAGGGTTAAGATGTTTTAGTCAATATTTAAAGTTTTTTGTGGGAACACCACAAAGTTATTAAATTACAGTGTTAAATCTATTTACAGTCATTTCTTCATGTTACCTGATAGAGAGTAATTTTTTCTATAACTTCACAGACAATGTCATTTTTCAGTTGTGTAGTTGCAGCATCATAGTAGAACCATTTGATATGTGTATCTGCAACAGACTGGTTTGATACAATTGAATACAGTGGTGCAGTGAAAGCTTTTGAATGCTAGTGTATATAACAGAAAGAACGCATATGGCGGGATTGAACAGGCCTGCTTTTTAAGGCTAAAAGAGCAGGAGATAGCTGGAATGTCTGAGCCACACACTTCCCCCCGACACAGGAGGAAAAGTAAACAAAAGAAAGTGACAAAGACCAGTGAAACGTGCCGCATGGACAGTAAGCATGCGCTCTGCGAGGAAGGCTTTCATCAGATGAAATACGGCCAGCGCTGTACTTCAGTATATGGCGGCCCTTAAATGGAAAGTAATATGAAATTATGAAGAGTAATCAGAATGCATTATGACATTGCGTAATGCTTAGATTGCCGGTGCTGATTGTTCCGGGCAGGTCCGTCGGTAATCTGAGAGCTCCTCCTTTCAGAATGACTGTTTTGTTTTTTCGAGAACTGATTTCAGATTTTTGTCTTTCTGCTTCACTGATTATTTACGATGTTGTCTTTCGCTCAGCAGAACCAAACGGTGTGTGTGCAGGTGCGCAGCAGAAAGGCCCTCATCATGGCTCATTCTCTTTTAATCTCTCCATCTGTTGCCTTTTGCCTTTGAGGTTACTGCTCCAAGATGGAAGTGATAGACAAAAAGAAGAAAAAAAAAGCAACACGGAAACACTGTTCAACCCATATAATGCCCTCTGCTATAGTTTGACTCACACCTGCCTTAGAACGCAGGCAGCGGTTAGTCACCACATACGGGCGGTTTCTTACAAACGCACACGCACAGGAAGGAGGTGTTAGGCAGCTGTCAAGTTTTTTTATCCCCCCCCACACATCCCAAACACTTGGCCCACTCAGCACGTTCACAACATACCAAAGCCAGGCTTTGAATCTCTCTCTCTCTCTCTCTCTCTCTTTCTCTCTCTCTGTCTCTTTCTCTTTTTTCCTCTGTTTCTCCTGATTTTAGGCACTACTACTTCCCACTTTCAAAAGAATACTGCAGGAAAATATATTTTTTCATGAATAAGAAAATGGCCCAGTTTTTCAAAACATCTGCATGATTAAATGGTTAAGATGTAAACAAAGTCATTCAGAGATAATTCAATCATGAAGATGTAAATTGTGTTATTCAAAGTCGTTTGATTCTAGAAAACCTTAATGAGTCAGAATGGTTCACAGTGGTGGTGATAGGAACCAGACGTCCACCTCTAAAAGCTCCCTCACAGAAACTTATTACATGAAATGGTTATGAATACTCAGCCTGATGTCTGAGACACTGTTTTACAATCGTTTTAAGAAGGTACTTTATAACGTTTTTAAATCCATCCATGGTGGGTGGAGTAAGGTGGGCACCGTAAGACAGTATAGAACCTGCATCGTTCGGTTTATCTACAGTTAATCATTTCACATCAAAACACCCTGCATGACGTTGTTTACATCTCAACCAGTTAATTATGTAGAAATGCTAATATGCTACTATAATTTCTCAGCAAGGACATTATTCCATTATCCCTTAGAAGGTGCAGTTGGGTGATAACAAAAGCA